AACCTCCAAGTAGGATTTAGGGTTCGGTTGCCAGCAGCCGCGGCCGTTGCTCTTCTTGAGCTTCCGACGGCCTTAAGGCTAAACACCTTGAGGACAACTAGCAGAGTCCTCCAACTCTTCCAATCACTGGCGCTTGCAATTCTTACACCATCTTTCCAAAGAATGGGCCGGAAAACATCCACTGCAGCAATGAGAAGGATATGTTCTCGAGCCACTCTTCTTTGGTCATGACTGTGACTTTATTCCCAATATCCCCTGTTTAGCATGGACGGCACTACCACCACTACATACAGCTTTTGCCGCTATTGCGCATTGTTGCCCATTTTTGTTATTGCCCTCCTATGATTTTTCCTATGATCTATGATTGCAGTATGTTCAGTTGTTCACTAGGAGCCCCGGATCAGTCCCGGATCTCAGGTCCCGGGCAGAATCCACAAAAGACAGTTTCACTCCTCAACCCTACCTGAAGGATCATGGGTCATTGGAAGTAGGGTAATTATTATGCTGTTGGCTAAAACCTTACTTTGGGCACTTACAACTTACAATATAACTGCCCCCTGAACCTTCAAGTATAGGCCCCAAATTTCTCATCACCAGGATCATCATCATCAACATCACTGTCAGTACCGGTGTTACTAGTCGTAATGTTAATAGTATCCTGACGGTTATGACGATTGTCATCATTCTTAATCGTCATTTTCACCATTGTGACTATATTGTCATTCATCGTGCTATATGATTGCTACGGTTGCTCTAGTTACTGTTATGCGATGAAACCTCGAAGCCCTTAGTGATTGAGGATGCATTCGAAGATTTCCAAAGTCCTCGAGCTCTTCCGCAGCCAAGTGTACTCCGCCATGCAGCTTGGCGTTGGCAAAGCGCTCGCATCCTCACCCCCGCCCCCCTCTCCCCCCCCCCCCCCCCCCCGCCACAGCACATACTAGCAATAAGAGCAATACTGGCAACAAGCATACTGTTCGTCATGACGTTTGGAGCTCGAGTGGCATTCAAGTCGTTCTTTCACTTCATGACCCATGAAGCTTTTCGTGTTCCCATGTGGTCTCCCACTGTTTGGGGGGTTACGCTGCCATAATGAACATACAGGTACACACAGTTGATTCCTAGGACCCGGAGTAGGCCCTTATTTCCTTTTCTTGGGTTTGGGGTTCCCTCATCATCCCCTTAAAAACCAAAAGGGGGTTACTCCTGGGTCTAGCTTCTTTAGTGTTTAGGGTTTAGGGTTTAGGGTTTAGGGAGTCTGAAGATGTCGGGCGCTTGAGCCACGGCTGCCGCTGAGGTATTCCTCTCAAATAGCTGGCAGCGATCCCATGGCTTTGACGGAAGACGTGGTGGAGAACGCAACTCGATTGCATGTATCTGAGAACCCTATACCCTAAACCCTAAACCCTAAACCCTAAACCCTATAAACCCTAAACCCTATAAACCCTAAACCCTAAACCGCATAGTCTCAGCTTCATTTGGGACCTCCAACGCCGTATGTCTGTGCACAGGTCAGACCACGGCTCAGGACAGGTTTAGGTACATGGAAGGTGCCGAGACAGATGTGCATGCGAATGAGGTGCCCTATATAATCTTTAAAGGGGACCTATAGGGCATAGGGTACCTCATTCCTTCATTCCCTTCTAAGAACCAGCCAGACTTGATTATCCGGAAAGTTAGCAACTAGGAGGGTCGTGCTCAGCAGCTGTCCTCATGATCCGGAATGTGCCAGCCACAGAACAGTTGCAAAAAGGCATCTATGACACTGATAGCACTGCACATGTACCTGCAACAGCTCAGGTTAGTAGCAGGCGCATGCATTTAGCTTCTGCACCAGATGGGTATGGGCCAGCATGGTTGTCCCAAGCACAGAAAGCACAGCGATCAAACTTGCCGACCACCAGAATTCCAGGGAGTTTGTGTCAGTTGTGTGCAGACCATGGCTGAAATTGCTTGGGTGTTTTCAGGCACGTTTTGCAGCCATACCCTCCAACCACGTGGACTTGAAAAGACGTCAGATATGATCAGCTCTGAGAGCAACATGTTAGGCAAAATGCTTTCCATGGGCTATCGGCCAAACGTCGTTTGTAAACAGGTGGTGTTGTCGAATTCAGGGACCCCGCACTGCGTCCATGGTGTTTCGGGAGTTCAGCAGAGATTGCCGGGATGGGTTTGAATATCTTGTTCGGACGGCTGCTCGGAGGGGAGGGTGCAGTGAACTGTATCTGCACGAGTACCCTGAGTAGTCTTTGGGGATTACACAAATACGCACACATGCAAAAAAAAAGATTATTTTCGGTCCCAGGTCCTGCGCATCTTCAGTGAGCCTGTGATCGACTTGATGCAGCCGCACATGCCGCTTTGATGCAGCATGAGCTGTAGCATCCAGAGCCTTGTAAACATAGCCCTAAACCTAAACCCTAAGCCCTAAAACCCGAAACCCTAAACCCTGAAAAAACTCAGGGTCCCAAACCCAGCGTCCTGAGTCCAACTACCAGACAACCCAAGAACTAGGCTGGACCTTCAAACGCATGGGCAGGATCAAGTACTTCAGTGTCTAGGGTTTAGGGTTAGGGTATACTTGAAGGTTCACGGGTAGCAATAAAGTAGTGCTAGTGCTAGATGGTGAGTACCCTGAGTGAGGTTATAAACCCCTAAGCCCTAACTCAAAACACCACTTTCTAGCTACCCATGAACCTCCAGGTAATCCCCAAACCAAGGCCGGATCCTCCATCAGCAGGCTTGAGGAAACCCTCAAGGGCTTCAAGCTGTTTAGGGTTAGGGTTTAGGGTTTAGGGTTTAGGGTTTAGGGTTTAGGGTTTAGGGTTTAGGGTTTAGGGTTTAGGGTTTAGGGTTTAGGGTTTAGAGTAAGAGGGCTTAATAGGGATGAGCGCCGACACGGCGCCTTCAGCCTTTGGCACAAAGAAACTCTGCCTGGCCCTCAACCGATCTCTCCCGAACACCCGAGCCTATATCTGTTTTGGGAGTCATTTTTAAAATTTTTGTTTATATCAAACCCAAGAGGATATTAAACAACTTATTGTTTAAGGCTTTTTGTTTATATCAAACCCAAGAGGATATTAAATATTTTTGTTCAAGGTTCTATGGGGAGCATAGGAGCAAGAGGATATGAAACAACTTATTTTCGTTTAAAGGTTCTAAGGGGAGCAGAGGAGCAGCATGCTGAAGTGGCTGGCCTTGTGCTTCCCGGTCGCCCTCGCTGAGCCGGAGGCCTCGTGCATGCTGCAGGCGAAGAGGCAGAACCTATATCCCTCTTGGGAATTGTTTTTTTCTAATTTGTGTTTATATAAAACCCTAAACCCTAAACCCTAAACCCATTTTTGTTTTTTTATGTTTTTTTATGAAGGTTCTAAGGGGAGTCTAGGAACAGCACCTCGGAAGTCCTCACCGATGCCGGCGGCTCCCTCTTCCCGATCTTCTGCAAGCAGGGGATCGCCGAGCTGGACTTCGAGGACTTCAAGCACGGAGACAAGTTTCCCCCAAACAAGATCAACGGAGTCTTTGTGGTACTTTACTGTAACTTTAGATCCTTGTACCGTTTTTGGGGTTTAATTGGGTTTCTGATTGAGGCAGCTAAAAGTCTAACTTTATAGCCACCCTCCTGAGTGCAGCCAAGGAGTGGCCATCACGGCCAAGGGCCCGGAAGACTGCACGGGACCGCTGGTGGTCATCGACCCAAAGAAGTTCAACTTCAATGCCCCGAAGATGCTCATCTGGTCGAAGGATGGGACCCCCAAGCAGTGCGACAAGGGCCCCACGCTGGTGACCTTCAAGTTCAAGAAGCTGCAACTCGGAAGAGCCCGGAGTCGGCCCTATTTTTCCTTTTTTTTAGGCTTGGGGTGCCCTTTAGAATTCCCCTAAAACCAAAAAGGGTGCCCCCTTTGTATTCCTAATTAGGCGACTTCTGGGTCTAGGGTTGGGGTTCCCCTTAGAATTCCCTTAGAATTCCCTTAAAGCCAAAAAGGGTACCCTTTTTTATTCCTAATTAGGCTACTGCCTTAAAACCAAAAAGGGTGGCCCTTTTTGTATTCCGAATTAGGCGACTCCTAATTCTAGGCAAGATGTGGAGCTCGCGGATCTCTGGGACCTGGTGAACGGCGCCAGCGGCGAGGCCTTCGACAAGAAGGGCAAGTCGTTGGGTAAGAAGGTCTCCCCGAAGGGCAACCAGATGAAGCCCGGTTTAGGGTTTAGGGTTTAGGGTTAGGGTTTAGGGTTTAGGGTTTAGGGTTTAGGGTTTAGGGTTTAGGGTTAGTAGTGGAGTAGGTAACCTTTTATAACCTTTTTGGGGTAAGATGATCCCCTTATAATCCCAAAGGTTATTTCTTTCTAAGTTCCCCCAGGCTACTGGACAACTAAGGAACAACAAGAGGTACACCATGCGGTTCAACATCCGGAAGGTGTCCAGCCTAGTCTTCACCCTGAATGGCGGAGGGCAGCCGTTTCCTGAGCAGGGGGGCATTCAGAGGATCATCCTCTGTCTGCCTCAGGGCAAGATCCTTGGTGGTGCTTTACTGTAACTTTAGATCCTTATACCTTTTTTTGGGTTTTAATAGGGTTTCTTATTAAGGCAGCTAAAAGTTTAATTTATAGCTACCCTCCTGAGTGCAGCCAAGGATCTTTGGTGACCCCCACATCTACACCCTGGACGGCGAGCGCTACGACCTGTATGAGAACGGGACCTACACCGTCTTCCACTACTCCGGCCAGAAGCCCTGGCTGTCCTCCAAGGACACCAAAGCCATCAAACATAAAGGCTCCGTAGCCCAGTGGTACCCTTTCCCCCCCTTTTTTTAGAGTTCAAGGTTCCCTGGTAAAGTAACCAGCCAAAAAAGGGTGCCCTTAATATAATATGGTTGGGGTGCTGCACACGACGGCACTTCTGCAGTGTGGAGCACAGGGTTTTCTCTCAAACGTGGTTTTCCCTGTGCTCTTTAGAACAGTGAAGTCTTGGACATGAGTTGGTGTGCCCTTAATATAATATGGTTCCTGGGCTCCCAGGCAAGGTGGACTGGCAACTCTTTGCCCACTATGGAGGCCCGCTCTGGACGATGCAGGCGCTCGTGCTCGTGGACCGGTCTATGGGCCGATTCCGACAGGCGCTGGAGCTCACGGCCGAGGATTGCCAGTGGCGGAGCAAGACCGGCGACGAGGAAGACTTCCGGGCAGTGAAGAAAGGGGGCCATGCTCGCTCCATGTCCTTGCTGGAAGGCGAGAACTTCGTCACGGGCTTCCAGTACTTCAACCCGAAGAAGATCGGGCTCCGCATGAGCACGCAGAGCGGCCACGAGGACAAGCTGATCCTGAACACTGTCTGCAACGCCTTCGGCATCAACATGCGGATCTCGATGAGAAACCCAGACGAGTGGAAGTATGTGAAGGGCCAGATTGAGGTCGGGAACGGAAAGGGCCAGAAGAAGTATGCACATCCGCACGGCTGGGCTTCCGTAGGTGGAAGCTCTGAGGCCGCATCCTTCCTGCTGCAGCTGCCGTCGGCGCAGGCCAAGTTCAACTTGCTCTCTGCGTGCGAAGACGATGCCAAAACCAAGGCGAAGAAGATCTGCGTCAAGCACCTGGGAAAGCACGCCGAGGCGGATGTCCTGGAGGACTGCATCTTTGATGTCTGCAGGGGTGGTGAAGATTTTGCTGCTGCGGCAGCAGAGCTGCTAGCCGCCTGAGGCATAGCTGTCTGCTCCGTCGGCGATCATTTAATAATTCGGTGAGCCTCCATATTTTAAATCTTCCGCTGCCGTGAAGTCGTGTGACGAATCCATGGCACAAAGCAGGAAGGCAGATAGAGTGCGCCGCTAGTGGCTAGGCGGTTTGCAGCGCGCTCGGAATTAGTTTGGAATTTGTACCCAGCCAGGCACGCTCCCGATCCGGCACAGAAGAAGCATTCCGTAGGAATGAAGCTTGCTGTCACCGTGGCTGATGGCCGCATGGGAAACTGAAATGCCTGTCGGCTCCCTGATGGTGAAAGGATGTTTCTGCCACAGAATCATGTTTGACGTGGTGCAGTAGCCGGCTCATAGTAGCAGCATTATAATTAGTGTTTTTTTGAAAGTGCCACCTACTGTGTAGTAAATTCTAAGTCACTAAGTACGCTGTGCTAGAGACTGATATCGATACCACACGAATTCTAGTGTAATACTGATGTGCATACTGCTACAAAAATACGGGCACGCGAAATAGTAGCAAGAGCCATGGGGATAGCAATAGCAAAAGCAGAGCATCAGCAATAGTCGTTGTTGTAGTACTTGTTGCAGTAGTCGTGATCGTCGTAGTCGTCGTCGTAGTAGTGCTGGTAGTACGTGGGGGAATGGGACTGGGAAGAGGAAGAGGAATTGAACCAGTAACCGAAATGAAAGCATTCACAAGGTTCTTCAAGAGTTCAACGGCGCAGCTGAGTTTAATCCAACAATCTTACAGCCATTTAGCTACAAGATTGTTGATCGAGAGTTCGTCGTGTCCCTTGAACCACCCTAGGCCCGAAAGCCTAAAGCCCAAACCCAAAACCCACAACTGACGTAAGTGTCCTTTCGTTGCAGTTTTCTGTCCGAGTGGGATGTTTGGGAAGAGTCCCTTATGTCCCCCGTCCAAATCTATAATGTAAGTAGTTGCGGGTGAAGTCCTACCCTCCACTTGCTCGGTAGGCAACAACGCAACGCCAGAGCGGAGAATCCGACAGTTTATGGGGGTTTAGCTTAGCCCCCCCCCCCCCCCCCTAAACCCTAAACCCTAAACCCTAAACCCTAAACCCTAAACCCTAAACCCTAAACCCTAAACCCTAAACCCTAAACCCCCCGCCTTCTCCAGCCGAGGCGATCTCCGGCTGTCATGCCCCTCGGCGAGGAAGTTTTCGGCAGGGTTTAGGGTTTAGTGTTTAGGGTTTAGGGATGAGAGAGACCTCGTTCAAAAAAGGGTTTCGGGTTTAGGGTTTCCCATTAGGCAGCTTTGGGAAATAGTTTCAAAAGATCAGGGAGCATGGAGCCTGGCTTTTTGGCGGAAGTTACCAGATCACCTGTATTCATTGCGTGGCGGTTGCTGTGTTGATATATTCAGATGTTCGTGCTGCCCTCAGCCTTACAGCGTCAGTGCGTCAGTTGTGTTGCAACAGTAGCCAGTAGACGATCACCATTTCTGAGGCCCTAAACCCTTCTTGGCGGTCCATGGGTAGCTATATAATTTTAGTTTGTTTCCCTACTTTTCGCCCTCCGTAGCCATGAGTTGCAAGGAAGACATTACTAGTCGAATCCCACAGGCGCAGAGTCCAGACAGATGTGCATCGTTCATCAATCGGGTTGCGGCTTAGTTCGTTGGGTCCCAACACCTACGGCGTGCTACACTCAACGATCCTAAGCTTGAGGCCGTCACCCTCGGCCCCCTCCCCACCCCCCCAAGTTAGCAGCTTGAGATTGAAACCTGCAAATTCAGACCTAGTCTCCTCAGTTTCAACCCTATAAACGAAGTCCAAGATGTCCCTTAAGCATTTGCGCCGGCTCCCCAACCGCATACATTGCCAATCGAAAGCCTTCAACTTTAACAAGATGAAACACAAAAATAAACCCGAACCTTGCCTGCCTTGTGCGAGAGTGAGCGACTCATTCCTCAAAGCTAAACCCTGAGCGCTAAACCCTAAATCCTAAACCCCAAACCCTAAACCCTAAACCCCAAGGCGTTTGGGTGGCTTCTTTGAGTTAAAAGGGTTTTTCGGGGCTTTAGGGAGCCCAGGTGCGTGGATCTCATGATGTGCCCCGGCGGTCAAAGCGGTTTCAGGGTGTAGGGTCTAGGGTCTAGGGTTTAGGGTTTAGGGTTTAGGGTCTAAGGTTTAGGGTTTAGGATTTTAGGGTTTAGGGTTTAGGCGGTTTAGGGTTTAGGGTTTAGGAAGGCTTTCTGGTTTAGGGAGAGAGAAGAAGGTTGAGGATGAACGTTTTCGCGTTCGTGGAATTTCTCGGGGTTTAAATGTCTAAGGCGTGTTGCGGGAAGTGTTTCTTTTCCGACGATGCACGGGTTGGAGCTTGCGACCGAGCTCTGCGTTCATCTGCTAGGTCTAGAACAGCCTTCAACTTCCGGATGTTGGGATCCACTTGGGATGTCCCCACTCATACTAGCAGTCTTAATAGGGAGTAATAGTGCCCCCGATTAGACTCCCTATTCAGGGCTGTTAGTATAAGTGGGAACGTCCCAAAGATCCACACTGGATTCAGGGCCTCCGCCTAGGTATGGCTCGCAGGACATCTTCGCACTGGCATTGGAGCTGCTCTTTGCGCACTGCGTCTTGGTGACCTTTTAAGGGATGAAGGCTCGTACCCCTAAGGAGCCCCCGAAGCCTAAAATGGATCTTAAGCTAGGGTTCCTGTTGGGGACCCCTTTAATCTGGGGACCCCGCTAGAGGGACCCTTTTGCAGCAAGGTAGTTACAAGGGAACCTTCGTATCGAGCAAACCCAAACCTACGCCCTCAATCAACAAGCACCCAAGCGAGGGTTTTCAAGCTTGGCAGGCGTGCCAGTTTTGTTTACTTCTAAGCTTGCGATTTTAAGATCGGCATCTTGTCCACATGTTGGAAAGCATCGAGCTGAAACTATCGGATTGGTAGTGCGAGCGGTGGTGCAGACGGCGTTACCGGCACAGCTGGGGGCGTTAGGTCTCGGATGTTCGCACTGCAAGCTTGACGTGTAAAACCTCCTAAGCCCGAAGCCCCAAAACCCCAACCCAAGCGAACTGCAAAATCAAAAGCCAAACCCAAATTCCACAGCCGGCCGTTTCGTTGAACTAAGTCCTGACAGGGAAGTGCGGGTTCGAGTCGTGCTGGTTTCATCCGGCAAGATTTTCTTGAGACCCTAAACCCTTCAACGCCATGCTATAGAAGCCCCCTCAAACCCTGGGCCCCCAAACCCTGTAGACCTTAAAGCCTAACCCACCCCAAACCGGGCGGCTTAACAGCACAAGGCTGCCAAGGATCTGAGCTCCTCAACCTCCTGGAGAAGGCAGACGGGGGATATTCAAGCCCCTAAGCCTTACACAACTCCAGAAAGTTGGAAGGATGATTCGAGCTGGGATTCCCTTTGGTGTAACTTTTGGAGTATGGGGATAAGGATGTTCCAACTTGGAGGGTTTTGTTGTGAACCCTAAACCGTAAACTAAACCCAAACCGAGTCAGGGCCCACATGCAGGACCCACATGCCTCCGATTTTTGCTTCAGCGTTGAGGGCTTCGGTTTTACGTCGAGTAGCCTAGACGCCCTTGCGAAAGGGGTTTGCGGGGTAGGGGTTAGGGTGCGCTAGTATTTGGCACACAGCCCCTTCTTGGGTTGAGGGGTCTAAACGGGATCCTTGCAAGGTTCAAAGCAACGACCCCGAGTGCCACGTTTCCTCCCAGTCCACTTCTAAACCCCATGCCCCCCCCCACCCCCCCTCTTCCGTCCTAGGTCACTCGGGAGCCAAAGTGACCGTAAGTCAAATTGATTTTAACCTCAGATAAACCCTCTAAACCCTATTTGAGAACCGGGCTTCAGGTGGAGTTGCTCACCACTGCCCAAGACAAGCTCTTCTCCTCCCTGAAGCACGACGTCTTCTCCCTGGGGCGCCTGTCACCCACCTCAACTCGAACGTGTTGGGGGCAGTTAACAAGGGGGACTACCTCACTTTTGGGGGTTTAGGGTTGAGGGTTAACCTCATAGAGCTAAGATAAGAACCCCGCGTAGGGCCCGCACAACTCAACTTGCAGGTGGGGCGCTCCGCATAAGTAAGGTTCCACGCACACGTACCTAAGGTCATTTGAACCTTATGCCCAAGTACTCATGAACCGGAAAGAAGGTATCACAGAACAGCTGCCCTATAAAAATAAAAACATGAACTAGGCCTATAAGACCCCCAAAAATGTTTTCAGTAGGGTCCAAAGCAGGGCTTATAGGGTTCAAGGGCGTAGGGTTTAGGGCCCTAAACCCTAAACCGTGTACAAATATAGTAATACTTGGGCCTTAAAGGGTCTCCTTTTTGGTAGCTAATTAGGGGGGAGGGGAGGCCACGGCCAAGGCCGAGGCGAGAAAATTGAGTTTGGTTTAGGATTCAGGGTTTAGGTCTTGGGGATGCAAAGGGTTTAGGGTTCAGGGTCGGGCACAGCTGATCGGCAGAGTCTGGTTTCAAAAAGGGTCGGGCACAGATGGCAAAGCCTAGACCCCATAAGGCCTAAGCAGTAAGAAAAACAGCAACAAAGTGCAAGCCCTAAACCCTCTAAAACCTAGAGGCCCCTGCCTGTTTTCCCCTGATGGGCTGAGGATCTACAGTATTGAAAACTGGGGGGTTGACGATGACTTCTCCACCATCGACAATGCAAAGCTGAAGCAGTTCAGTGACTTGGCCGTCTCTCAGTTCGGTTTAGGGTTTAGGGTAACCAAGTTGAGAACTTACAGTAGGGTTTAGGGTTTAGGGTTTAGGGCCAGGCCCATGAGGCTGAGATCTAGTTCTTCCGGTTGCAAATTCTGGGAACCCAAACCCCACTAAAAACCCTGCAACTCCTACCTCATAAACCCTATAAACCCAATAAACCCCATCCTAGGGCTGAGGGTTTAGGGTTTAGGGTTTAGGGCTTAGGGTTTAGGGTTTAGGGTTTAGGGTTTAGTAAACCGTTCTTGGCTGGTGGGAGTTGGCAGCTTCTAGAAGTCGGGAAGGAAATGGGCTGTCTCCCTGCACCGGAGGGGGGGGGGGGGCGGGCGATCTCTAGATTTTAAGGTTTAGGGTTTATTGTGGTGCTTAGATTAAACTACAAGGAATGTACTAGAGATCTCTAGATTGTAAGGTTTAGGGTTTATTGTGGTGCTTAGATTAAACTACAAGGAATGTACTAGAATGCAGACCCCAAAACAGTGGGCCCATCATTTTGATCAACACTCAGCGGAGATTTCATGCCGACGGAATACTGTGCTCCACGGCGTAGCAGCATGCAGACACCCCTGTGAATGTAATTGCGCAGCCGGGCAGGAATAGCAGCAAGCCTTTGCAGGAAATAGAAACCATAGCTACCAGATGGCGACCAAAGTTTGATGTTTTAGGGTTTGGTTGCAGTATGCCTGGATTATCCGGGGCCAACACGCCTCCAAAATTGGGGAAAGCACCTTACCTAGCGGTTCTGATTCTCATCTCAGCTATCCAGTGGCTAAGTGGCCCGTACCACCCTCTGAATCCGCAACCGCAATACCCTACTACCCTCGCCCTAAACCTTAGGCCCTAAACCCGAATATGCGGTGCCCCCGACTGCCTTAAACCCAGGCCCCGAAACCCGTCAGGTTCACTGTGCAAGCGGATCCGCGGCCTTTGCATCAACGGGGACCCGTCGAGTAGCCCCTTCGAGGTGCAGAAGATGCTTCATGAGCCTGGGCAATCCATTGGGGTGCAGGGTTTGGGGTTTGGAGTTTAGTTCAAGCTGCCAGAAACGATGTTGCTGAGTTCAAGGCTACGGATAAGGGCACCCCTAAGCCCTGAAGCCTGAAAGCCCTAAACCCTGAACCAACCCTAAACCCGACACCCTAAACCCTCAGCCTGAAAGCCCTAACCTAAGCCCTAAAACCCTACACTCGGATCCCTTCATCCACTTCAGGGCTGTGAGGCCCAGTTTAGGGTTACCTTATTGGGGTCCTTATTATAAGGGAATCCCACTATTTGGGGGCCTTTTTTAGGGGACCTCTATTTTGTTACACTCCCTTATACCCTAAACCCTAAACCCTTCTTGGAGCCAAAAGCCGAACCAGCCAATGACATGATGGGATATTTCACTACTTCCTTAGACTTCTAGGACTTACAGGGCCTAGGGTATGGAGGGCTTCTGTAAGGGGTTCTAGGGTATTGTAGGAATGGGGTGATCTTACAGCTCCCCCTGATTGGGTTTGAGCGGATCTGGTTTTGTTCTGGGCTTCTCGTGTTCTCTGCGCGTCCTCTCGTCCCAGCTCTAAAAGCGGGCTCCGGATCGTTCATCCTGGTGCTCTCGCGTAGGCCCTAAGCCCTAATTAAGCCCTAAACCCTAAACCCTAACCCCTAAACAGCAGAAACCCTAAACCCTATACCCTCCCTTAAGAACCCTATCATCAACCCTAAAGACCATGACAACACCCCACACAATGAAAAAAGAATGCTCAAGTGGAGATCCAGGAAACGGAGTTCTTCTCGCACATGGACTACACTGTCAGGATGAGCTTCTCTGCGCCTCAGCCTCTAAAGTGTCAAGTTGTCGCGCCGGCAAAGGTCTGGAAAAACCCTAAACCCAGGGTTTAGGGTTTAGGGTTTAGGGTTTAGGGTTCCTAAGCCCTAAAGCCTCTTCCTGGCTTCTTCAGGAAGAAGAAGGTTTCGGGATAGGCTCACCATTAGAGAGAGAGCATGGAACACCGCTTCTGTATCTGGGGGCTTAGAGTTCTATGAGGGGAGCAGCTTGTGCTTGTTCATGAAGGTTATCCACGTAGCACAGGCACTCTAAACCCTAAACCCTAAACTCTAAACCCTAAACCCTAAACCCCCCAAACCCCCCAAACCCCCCAAACCCCCCAAACCCCCTAAACCCTAAACCAACCCTAAACCCGGCCCGCCTAGAAAGTGGGACCCTCTTGAGTTTGATGCGGTGCCCTGCGTTCCTTGGAGCGGTTGAGGTTTTAGGGACAGAGAGTCGAGCCCGTGCTCAGAAAGGGTTAAGGGAGCCAGGCATTTAAGAGAGCCCTGGTGCAAAGGGCTCCCTGAACCCTCAGCCCTAAAACCCTAAACCCTAAACAGGCCCTAAACCCTAAAAAAGCGCTACAACAGCAAGCGCCAAACCAGCCCAGGACTTCCCGCAGAGCTCCGAAGTCCTGGTGGCCTTGGCAGCAAGAGGGTGTAAAGCAAGACGAGGCCCCTGCGCCCCCCAAGAGCTCAACCACTACCCAAGGGAAGACGGCAGGATTTTGTGATTCATTATAAGTTTTAATAGCCCTTAGTCCTTAGTCCTGACCCCTCTATGAATCTCCAAAAGAAAAGCCTGGGACCTTATTGTCAAAGGGAACGCTTGTACGGAAGCACTAAGTGCACAGTCCTTTTAAAGTCAGTCTCCTTGGGGTTCCCATGAAACGGTAAACCTGGAGGGCAGCCTTTTCGTGCCGCGGAAACCCTAAGCCCTTAAGCCCTTAAACCCTAAACCCTCCCACCCAAAACCCCCAAACTTCTAAACCCTTAAGCCCCTACACCCATAAGCGCTTAAACCTGAACCCAACGTGAAGCTTGAGCGGTAGTTATGTCATACGTGCCCATACGTGCCCGAAAGAAGGGTATGACCAATTATAGCTATAGTGACCCTACTTAATACCCTACTTATAAGTACCTATGAACCTCCAAGACAACCCTCATGAGCCCTAAACCCTAAACCCCATAAGCCCTCAAGCCCTGAAACCCTTAAAGCCCCAAACCCTCCTAAGCCCTTAGAGCCCTGAAACCTTAAACCCCGAACCCTAAACCCTAGACCCTAAACTAACCCTGATAAGCCCTTAAGCCCGCCCTCAGAGCCCCAAACCTCTGAGATGAAGGGGCTCTGAAGTATAGACCTATGGGGCTTAGAGGCTAAAAATAAGGGTTCCTCAATTCAGGGCCCATACTAAGGGACCGTGTAACTACCCGAAACCCTAAAACCTTCTAGCCCTCAATCTTAAACCCCATACGAAGGGACCATGCAATTACCCTAGTCCTGTTTAATTAATACCCCCACATTTAAAGAAATGTTTTTCGTCGAGAAGCCCGCCGGAAGACTACTTTCCATTGCGGGGGTTTTAGTATGGGGAAAACCCACCACATTTAAAGATTTTTTTCTCGGGGGGAGGGGTAAAAAAGTCTGTCGGCTTTCGTGCTTTTCTTTGTGAGCTGCAGTTTGCTTCGGTGAAGCTACACATCTTAAGAGTAAAAGCTTTAAAGAAGCCGAAGCTTTATTTTTCTAGAAGCTGAGGTCCTTCAGAACGCTACGATTTCTTATGTGATTGCTTACTTGAGGAGAGAAGTTTTCATTCTGTCCTGCATTCCTTTTGTTTTTAATAGAGAATCCATACATTGCCATGGTCTTATTGTTGCGGCGCCCTGCCTTTCTTATTGCGGTGGGGGAGGGTGGGCCCCCCCAATTAAACAGGTGCTCGGATTAAACCCGAAATTAGACCCTAAACCCTCAACCCTAAACCCTAAACCCTAAACCCCACACTAAGAGACCTGCAACCACCCAAAAGACCTCTAAGGTGAAGACAGTCATCTCCCAGATGTGCCACTGCGCAGTCAAGGCGGGGCCCTGCGTCGTGCGGGGGAAGGGAGGGGGGGGGGGGGTTTAGGGTTTAGGGTTAGAGAGGTTGAGGGTTTAGGGATAGAAGGGCTTTAAGGGTTTAGGGTTAGAAGGGTTTAGGGTTCGAAGGGTTGAGGGTTTCGGGCAACAGGGGCTCAGGGTTGAGGGTTTAGGGGCTCTAAGAAGCCCTGATTGCTGTGATTTGCCAGGGCTGCGGTTTCTGGGTTGTCCCTAAACCCTAAACCCTAAACCCTAAACTCTAAACCCTAAACCACAATCCGCAGCCCGGAGGCCCCCAGGAGGCCCCCACAACCCGAAGCCTTGAGCCCCTTTTTGCTGGCAGCCGTGGGTTTGGCAAGGCAGAGTGCGGTTGAGAGTTTGGGGAGGAGGGTTTAGGGTTTAGGGATTAGGGTTTAGGGTTTACGGTTTGACAAGTCCCCCACACTCTGGCTGGGTATTCGGCTGAAGGGCTCAAGGCTTCGGACGTTGGGGGCTTTGGGTTTTATGTTTTTGGGCTTCAAGGGTTTTGGGCTTCACCCCCGTGGCTGTTCGGAGTTTGGGGGTTGGCGTTCAGGGTTTGGGGGGGTTAGGCCTCATACAGGGGGTGCAATGCGGTCGCCGTCTTGTGCTATGCTGCCCACCACCAGCATTCCCAGAGACAAGCCTCTTGCAGAACAAGGGAGGTAGTCTGGGAGAAGATGGTATGAAATAACAAGTATGAGAACATAACAAACAAGATACTCTGACATTGCAATTCTAGAATACAAAAACGGTTCGTGTGCTCAGTGTCCAAGGTCTTTGAACTCTAGATGCTTCCGATGCCTCTAGCTGCGCGACGAAGAAAACTACGACCTGCTTCAAATCAGCTTACTCAGCCAAAGGGCCCATGGCAAAAGAACAATCATAAACCCTAAGCCTCTGCAGCGTTCCTTTGTTTCAGGCCGTGGCGAACAACAGCAAGAACCAGATGCAAGCTTACCGGTCTGTGGCTTCTCGACGTGCATGGATTTTAATTGAAAGGGTCGGGATAGTTGCTAACAAGGGTTTAGGGTGCAGGGTTTAGGGTTTAGGGTTTAGGGTCAGAAGAAGTACTCCTAGTATCCCCTTATGGTCGCTACATACTGATACTACAATAACCCCCCCCCCCCAAAAAAAAAAAAAAAAAAAAGAGAGAGAAGCCTATTCTAATTTTTTTGGCGCCTAATAATTATAGGGGTCGGAATAATTACTACTAGTATCCCCTTATGGCCCCCTTATAATTATACTTTATTTACCCCCCATAAACCCTGTTCGAATTATTTAGGCCCCTATAGTCTATTTCTTCCCCAAATCGGGGTATCCTGGTGTCGCTTACTTGGAGGTTCATGGGCAGTTATAAGTGACTGGAAGTAGGTACTTGGGATTCTTAACTACCCATGAACCTCCAAGTAGACATCCCCCCCTCCCAAAAACACAGTCCTTATTAGAAGAAGTCCCCAAAATAGGTGCCCATACCCGGTAGATATCCCCACCCCCCACCCCCCCCGCCCCCACAAGAAGCAGCTACACACTTGCAGGTTTATGGGTAGTTCTAGAGGGTTTGTAGGTTGTTATAAGGTTTATAGGGTTAGGGTTTGTAGGGTTTCTAGGGTTTCTAGGGTTTACTTGATGGTTCACAGGTAGTTCTAAGTGGGGCTAGAAGCAGGGCAACTGTAATTACAATTGGCTATAACCTTATTCAGGGTAATTGTACCCCTACTTGTAATACCCATGACACATGAACTTCGCCACTCTATCCTAGCTTTGCTCAGGGCTCGAAGCATTCGTCCAAGTTGCCCAGGATGCGATGAAGGCTTTGGTTGCCGAGCAGCCGGAATCTGCACTGCTGCTGGCAGAGATGCTTTGCACAAAGTCGCATCATTCGGTAGGTGGTGGCCTCATAGTCCAGGGGTTGATAAGTTGGGGAAATTGCGTACACGGAGGGTGGAGTGGGGGGGAGAGGCCGCATGAAACAAGCAACCACACTCGATGCATGACACCTGCTATCATACATGTATAGCATGGGGGACCCCCCCCCCCCCCCCCGCCCCACTATGCAAGGCTCCCTAAACCCTAAACCCTAAAGACAAAAAAGGACACCGGTCCTCCCGGTCTCAGTCCCCCCCCCTCCCCCCCCGTCCCCCCCATCACCCCCCCCTACCCCCTTCCCCCCCTCCCCCCCTCTCTTCCCCCTCTCCGCCCTCCAGCAGTTTTAAAAAACAAAACTTTCGTACGAAACGTTTCGTACGAAACGTTTCGTTCGAAACGTTATTGGGACCCAAACCCTACACAATTTCTATAAACCATAAACCCTAAACCCTAAACCCTAAACCTGCTGGGGGTTGTTGGGGTTTAGGGCCCTCGGGGAGTCGTTCTTCGTGTTGGGAAGGGAACCTATGGGCTCCAATAGGCCTAAGTAGGGTGACCGGTCTAGGGTTCTCGGTTTTAGGGTTTAGGGTTTAGGGCTACTTGGCAGTTCAGGGGTAGGAAAAAAGTGCAAGTAGCCTAAGCAACGCCATAACTATAGCTACCCAACCTCATGTGCCTACCTCCAAGTAGCGACCCTAGTGTGATGCAGTGAATGAACGTCCTAAACCCTAAACCCTAAAACCCTAAAACCCTAAACCCTAAAACCCTGAAATCCTAAAACCCTAAAACCCTGAAACCCTAAAATCCTAATAAACCCTAAAACCCTAAAACCCTAAAACTCCAAACGCCGCAAAAAAGGATCATCATGTCACATACTCTGGGTGTGGGTTGGGCTGGCAGCTTGAGGTGGCTGGGAGGGACGGGGGAGGGGGGAGGGGGGGAGAGGGGGGGAGGGTGGGGTGGAGGGAGAGGAGGGGGAGGGGGGCGTTTCAGTAAATTGAGCATTTGGCTTCAGACTTAAACTCAGCTTGTCAGCTGTTTAGACAAACAACTTGAAAATTCAGATTGCTACCACATACGAGGAGGAGGGGGGGAGGGCGAGGTTTAAGTAAATTGAGCATTTGGCCTCAGATTTAAACTCAGCTCGTCAGCTGTTTAGACAAATAACTTGAAAATTCAGAATGATACCACATACAATTTCTATTTATTTTGTCTTGAGGGTTTAGGGTTTAGGGTTTAGGGTTTGGGCTTTAAGGTTGAGGGTTTATAGGGTTGAGGGGGTGAAGGCCTGATGTTGACAGGGCTAACTCGTGAAAAGGATCTTCAAGGGCAACTTCACCATCTGCCGGCGCGTGCCCGAAGATCTCATCGCGAAATTCTCGGAGCTCATCCTACGGGAGCCCGCAGGGTTTAGGGTTTAGGGTTTAGGGTTTAGGGTCCAGTGGTTGAGTTGAGGGTGTCGGGTTAAGAGTTCAGAGCTTGGAGTTGAGAGGTTTGATGCCCGGCCTGAGACCTGTTGAGGGCTTCGGGTTAAGAATTTTGGGGCTTAGAGGTTTAGTTGAGGGTTTAGAGTTCAGAGTTTGGGGTTTAGAGGTTTACTTGAGGGTTTAGAGTTAAGAGTTTGGGGTTTAGAGGCTTAGTTGACTGTTTGGAGTTTGGGGATTAGAGGTTGAGTTGAGGTTTTCTAGTCAACCCTAAACCTCTCTGCAGTTGCCTCGCGGAGCGTGGCTAGACGGGTGGCAAAACAAACCAAACCCAAGGGCGCTTACCAAGCTCTTAAAGCCCCAAGCCCTAAACCTCTAGATTGCCCGGTGCTATGTGCAGTGCCCCCTAAACCCTAAACCCCAAAACCCTGAACCCTAAACCCCAAAGGGCCTTCGTGCGTCCATCAGCACGCAGGAGAGGATGGCGGGCAGCTTTGTGTCCTGCTACATCGACTTCTACATGGCTTCTGGCCTTAAAGCAGCCTCAGCCCTGTAAGCCTTAACCCTACACCCTATAAGCCCCATAGCAAAACCATATGAGCACTATAACCCTATAAATCCTGTAAACATGTAAAACAAAATAATTAAAACAAGCTGCAGAGGGTCTGCGGCTTTGACATAGGAGTTTAGGGTTTAGGGTTCAGGGTTTAGGGTTTAGGGCTTAGGGCTTAGGGTTTAGGGTTTAGGGTTTAGGGGCCAAGGAGTTCACAGGAGCCTTGGGGTTGAGGGCTGGGAGGGGGCACAGACTCAGGGAGCGAAGCCGTGGAGCCCTTGCGCAAAACTCTTGGGGGAACCCAAACCCTAAACCCTGAACCCTGAACCCCGAACCCTAAACCCTAAACCCTAAACCCTAAACTTAAACCCTAAACCTTAAAATAGGAAGTAGTTGCCCCAGTCCTTATATCCTCTAAAGAGGAGCCGACCAAAAAGCACAAGGCAATTGGAAGGCAGTGTGCCTACATGGACCCTTTTGGAATCCTTGTAATATTTTCCTAAACTACAAACCCTTAACCCTAAACCCTAAACCCTAAGCCCTGTGGCACGGCTCCCTTCAGCGAGCCTTGCCAGGCCATCGTCTCCGCCGGCAACAAGCCCGTGGTGCGGAATCAGGCTGCCTTGCAAGCGATGCGAACCCCTAAGCTGGGAACCCCAAACGCTGAAGCTTCGGGTTGTATATAAAATATGGGTGCAGAGTGCAGGGTTTAGGGTTTAGGGATATATAATTTGGGTCTAGGGTGTAGGGTTTAGGGTTTTGGAACATTTTAGTATTTTGTCTTTTGGGTTAAAGGGTCGGGGTCTTCGGGTTTAGGGGGGCAATTGTCGTAGCCGGTTTGTTTAGCCCCCCGCGCTCAGCCCTGTACCCCAACGTCCTCAACCCCCCCCCCCCCACTCCCGGCTCCCTTCTTACTTATGGACAACTGGTGGAGAAGGTCGAGATTTTTCGTTTTTAGTAGTTATCATCATTTTAGTTCTCCCTTGAACAAATCGAGATGTTCCTTGAAAAAAAGCCAAAAACCTTAAGATTATTCTCTCCCAAGTGTGGTGATTTAGAAGGTCGAGACTTTTGCTCTTGACTTTGAATCCTTTAGGTTGCCACTCCTGAAAGTTTAGCCTTCATTTCCTCGGGAAGAAACTTGGAGGTTCCGGAATAGTTAGAAGTGGGGTTGTAAGTAGGGTAACCATGATTGTAACCGGTTAAAAACCTTGCTTAGGGTACTTCGAACCCTAGTTCTGACTACCCATGAGCCTTCAAGCAAGCTTTGGTGAAGTCCTGCCCTCTTTGCTCACCCCGCAAGGCTGCCGGGCCACTTCAGTGTAAGAGTTCAGAGCTTGACTCGTGGTAACGGATTTAGGGGCCCCCCTTCTTCCCTCCCCCCCCCCCCTCCTGGCCTCAAAAGAAAAGAGTATTTTTTCCTGGCCTCAAAAGAAAAGAGTATTTTTTCCTGGCCTCAAAAGAACAGAGTGTTTTTTTTCCTGGCCCCACAAGAAAAGGGTTTTTTCCTGGCCTCAAAAGAAAAGGGTGTTTTTGAGTCTTGAGCGAGCTTCTGGTCGACGTTGAAGCAAGAAAAAAGCTCCCTAAGCGTCCTGGTTGGTCGGTTGGTCGATCTGCCCTGCCTGCTGCTGTGGTTTAGGGTTTAGGGTTTAGGGTTTAGGGTTTAGGGTTTAGGGTTTAGGTCCAGGTTTTAGGGTTTAGGGTTTAGGGTTCGCGGGGAGAGTTGGGGACAATCCCCCCTCGAGAACCCTTGAAACGATCCGATAGGCCCTCTTCTAAGGAGCTTAGGGGCTTATAGAGGGAACCCAAGAAGTTCCCTATTGCCCTGTGAAGAAGCCTAAGCCCT